GATGTGCGGAGGGCCCTCGCCCAGCAGTGGATTGACAAGAGGAGTGTGCGGTGTGCGATTACGTGGCTGAGAAACGACCTTTCTTAAAATGGACCTGCTGCAAAAAAACGACGTATAACATCGTGCCAGAGCTTTGAAACAATCCAGCCTTGAATACATCTGAGCGAACATTGTGCCTGTTTGTGTATTTTTTTTCTCCCTTGTTCTCTCCCCCCCCCCCCCCCACTTCGCCCAAGCAATGTATGCTTCATGATGGAGTACACTGCTGAAGTCTATCAGAAACGCTCCGGGGCACAGTCTCGCCTCGTATCCATACGCCACCACAAACGAGGTGGAGGGCGACGGACGGTCGGAGCGCTGGCAGCTTTGAGTGATGGGAGTTGGGGAGTCTAGGACGTGGGAAGGACATCGTATTGGGCGACGTGGCACCAAGGTGCTACCACGGGACGTCTCCCAAACGCAAAAATTATTCCGCCGGGGTAATCGCGGGGCAAACGCCACACGTCTTTTCTCGACAAACATTTCAACTGGAGGCGGGGGAAAAAGCTTTAAAATATTAAGCTATTTTGCGAAGCCTATTTATTATTAATAACTAATTGTAGAATACGTCTTGTCAAACGGCAGACAATGAGCTTGTGCGTTAGAAAATGGGAGGGGTGGCGCGTGGGGTTTGGCGGGGGTAGAGGAGAAAGAGGCTCTTCAAGCTTCTTCTTCTTGGTTCTTTCGGTAAAGTCACGTAGAATGGAAATAATACAATTATAAAAATAAAACATAATAAAATCATTCTCACGACGTTTCGGCCACAACGCAAGCAGCCGTCCTCAGGTGGAGAGCAGGTCTGTCGAGAGATCGCAACCACCACCCTAAGACCTGACATTGTGCGCTGGTCCCGTTCGCTCAAGAAGGTCTTCATCATTGAGCTCACAGTACCCTGGGAGGACTCAGTAGATGAGGCTTATGAGCGAAAACATCTGCGCTATGCCGATCTAGCTGCCGAAGCACGGCATCATGGCTGGAACACAGAAGTCCGACCAGTGGAGGTGGGCTGCAGAGGTTTTGTCGCAACATTTACAACCAGACTGCTTAGAGACCTGGGAATTAAGGGCCAGAGCCAGCGTTCGGCATCAGAGCTGTATCGGAGGCGGCAGAAGGCAGCAGTCAGTGGCTCTGGATGAAGAGGAAAGACCCCAGCTGGGCCCCAAAGTGAGAAGACCAGGAGGTATGCGGTCAACAATGCTTGACTCAGGGAGGAGGACGCCCCTGCCATGCATAGTCCCATGGGATGTTGGCTATCTACAACAAGGCAACTCCTATGACTAATTGGGAATGGGACGCAAGCGTAGGATTGATCACCCTGTCGCTGGCCGCCTTTGGGGAGGGTGTATAGTATGAAAGGCCGAAACACCCTAGGAACCAAAGGTACACTACTGACGATGCGCTCCCCAAATTTCGCCAGGCTCACTGTTCATGAACTCTTGGAAGTGCTTGCACAAAGGATAGTAACATCTCATCCTGTGTTCTTTGAATCTGAATCGGTTGCTTGCGTTGTGGCCGAAACGTCGTGAGAATTATTTTATAATGTTTTATTTTTATTATTTTATTATTTCCATTCTACGTGACTTTACCGAAAGAACCAAGAAGATGAATCATTGCAGTCACGAAAGCTTTAAATCGAAACTCTTCAAGCTTCTTTGCCACTGCATTGCTGGGATAAAGGCCTCTCTCCACATTGTCTCAATCGTGAGAAGTTGATGGGCCATAATTCCCCACGGTGGTCAGTGCGGATTGGTGAAGTTCTGGCCCAGGACCGGTTCGGATATCACTCGCCTCTGACATGAGCCGTGGCTGGTAAGAAAATCACGGTGGCCAGATTCAAAGCGGAGTGCGCTAACCAGTGCACCACTGCTCGACCCCAGCAGGGAAGCATCCCCCAAAAATCTTGGATGGAGAAGAGGTTATTAGTATTCTCCCCCCCCCCCCCGCCCACCTCTTGGCTACTGTGGACTGTGGCTATGATTGGTGCTCGCTGTAGGGCAGTAACGACCATACTTCACCACGCTGGTCAGTGTGGCTGATGTTAGCTGTGGCTGGGAAAGGAACTCAGGTGGCTGGGTTGTGCTAACAAATGCGCCACCGCTCCCCCCATACCACAGTAGATATTTTGCATGGGAATGCCTCGTCGAAACTATTCAGTTTATACTGAACAATACACCCGAAGGAGTACCAAAGTAGAGCTTGTGCTCAAATTTTCTTTGTTGTGGGTTTCCCGCACCTCCGATTAGCACGGTTGGATACGTACGATGCGAAAGAAGTTAACATACATACTGAAAATCATACCTGAGTAAGAAATTGTACTTTATAAAGTAAATATTACGGTTACTAGGGGAAGCTTAAGGACAATGATGATGATGCAGAATATTTGTAAGAAGGAAGACATCATGTTAACATCATTTTCAGTGGCATATTGAGGTTGGCATAGGCCCTGTTTAATCCTCCCCCCACCCCCCTCTGTGTCGCTCATCACCTGAGCCCCTCTGATGGGGTGAGCCCCAGTACAGCTGCACTGCCTGCGCACGTAGCCGCTACATTACTGACCAGTTTAAATGTGATATTTGTATCAGGATGAACATGCTCCAAGCATACAATTAAAACGTACACAATGTAACGTTGATGTCATCAGCTTGAAATGCGTTCTTAATTCGATTTTAACACACCGCTTTAAAAATAGATTTTATAGATCAACTATCAGACGAAAGTTATTTATTGAAGCCAAGTGACAACCCATTGTAATGAGAGATTCTTACAAAACAAATAGTGAAAATGCAGTCGCAATAAATGTCGATTCGAAATTGATATCTTTGAGACGTGAGATGTATAAAAGGCACACATCAACATGTGAATAATTTTATTATCCAGATATTCATTGCAAAGCACGCTTGCCTCAATGGGCGCCCTCGCTTTTCATTTCCATGAAAATCACGAAATTATTCTGCCCTAGCTTCGGTAGTTTTTCTTGTAAATTATACGGGGGTGCACCACAAAGACAAAACCCCCTGTATAGCCTTAACAGACTTTTGGGGCAAGTGCTCTTACCGAGCACCTCTCACACACGAAACACAGTGGCGTGTCGATCGAGTGTGCAGGCGGTGCAATTGCACGAGGGCCCACGGGCCAGAGAAACCCAGACGCACTGCTACAAATAAGCGGTTAGGGGGGAGGGGGGGTTGGGGAGAGAGGGGGGGGATTCAGGCAGTGGTCCCATTGCATGCTGTGCACCAGGGCCCATGCCAACCACGCAACTCCACTGGACACACACACACACTTCGCATTACGCGTATGCAAATCGTAACAATGGATTTACAAGTTTGGGAATATTTCACCGCGCGAGCAGTCTTGACGGACGACAGTGCTTGGCGTTGCAGGGATACGCATCGCCCACTGACCGTGAGGACAGTCGAGTCGAATCAAAGCCCGTTGTACAGACCGCAGAATCAGAATCTTTATTAAGACTGGAGGAATCCCATGAGCTATAAAGACTCTTTTTTCATAAATGTCCAGCCGGGGGGGGGGGGGGGGGGGGAGGGTCAGCAAGTATTCACCTCTGACGCTTTCTCTCACTCGAGCGCACGTGCTGTGGATAGAGCCTGAGCCAAGCGGAACGAGCAGCGCTTTTCAAAAACAAACGACCAACGCAGAGACGACATCAAACTTATTCAAGTTCTCAAGGTTGTTCAGTATATTCTGAGGTTTTTTCGGCAAAGTCACCTACATGACTTTACCGAAACAACCTAAGAATATGAATCCTTGCAGTCACGAAAGCTTCAAATCTAGAATTGTTCAGTATAGCTTCTCTGACGTTTTCGCGAGGTGCCGCTCGTCGTTCAGCATGATGTCCGACGTTTCGGTCCACGTGCGTGGCGCAAATACACGGGAGAGCCGGTGTTTTGACGCCTCTGCTATCCTTGCTGGTGTTGCGACACAGACGTTCATCAACAGCGCTTCAAAGCTCATCGTCACTATCATCGTCATCGTGAACATTAATCTTAACCAACCGCTCATCAAAAGTCACGTCCAACTACACCCCAAACACACACCGGGTGACAGCGCCAGCCGCGTGATGTCCCATTTGTGGGGAGCTCTGTCGGCGTCATGTTATCGAGATCGAGATGACAGCATGGCTGGCAACCCATCGAGACGATTGCTCATTTTGCAAGGGGGACCTGTAAAAGTTACGCGGCGAGTGTCTAGAGCAGCGATGGGTGTGCAGGTTTGGATAAACCGGTCCACAATGAGTTGCTTAGAGAAGACTGAGCAAGCCGCCTCTTAAAACACCCCCCCCCCCCCGTCGTAAACAAAGGCACCAGTGCGAGAGGCGTTTGCGAGCACTCAAGGTCGTCACGGTGGTTGTGGCCACAACTACGCCAGTGCTGGTGTGTCACACACCGCTCCAGGTGTTCGCTTTGAACAAAGGCGGTCTCACTGCATCGCGCGCTTTCAGATGCGCTTCTCCGGCCGTCTGGAACGTTCTTCCTTCCGATATTACGAAGCCACTTGGAGCTGTGCACTCTTAAATAATCTAGATTTAAACTCATTTCTTTAGAACTGCCTTTTGTGTTCAAATGTGTTGTCCTTTCTCCACACCTCCGATTAGCACGGTTGGCTGCGTACGGTGAGAAAGAAGTTCGACATACATAGAAGTTCTACATACATCCATACATATGTAAAAGTTGAGTCGTTCCAGAGGAAGGGAGGGCTGGGACAGATTTAGATTCCACTTTGTGGTATCCATAACTGGCAATCTTAGCTACAATTCCTAGAGCGCCAGGTTCGTAGCCCGGTAAGCTGACCACTGTGCCGCCGCTCACCGCAACTCACCGTCACCACACAATCACAAAGGTCGCCCCATTTAGCAGCCTCCTTGGGGTGTCAGCGAGCACACACAGGACCCACACAGAGACTCGAATCAATGACTCAACCCCCCCCCCACAGGACCCACATACCTTTCCTTCGCGAGCGTCTCCGTCTTCGTCGCTTCATCTTGGGCCGCCGGGAAGACACGTCTTGCTCGGCGACTGTGCCCAGCACCAAGGGGCAAGGAGGCGTGGAGGCCATGGTCCCCTGGCTTGCTACTCTGTCTCTTCCTCGGCTGCCGCGTCTACGAGACTACTACGACTACTCGCCCGAGCCACGTGGAGCCAATGTGATCAGCTTCTCTGCGTACACTCTGCTGCCTCACTCACCCACCCTCCCCTGCCGCTCACTCACTCATCCGATTCACTGTGCTGGCTCTCACCTTTCCCCTCCTTGTCGCTCACTCACTTCACATTTCCTTCCTACTGCTCACTCCTCCTCCGCCGCCGACGCACTCCGCTCCCTCGCCTTCCCTCCACCACCACCGCTCACTCGACTCACTCCACTCCCTGACTGACCTTAACCTCCCTCTCTCACCGACTACTCGATACTCCGACGCACTCCACTCCCCTCGCTGTACCTCACCGAATGCGCCACTCAACTCCACTCCCTCGATGTTCCTCCCTGGCGCTCGCTCGCACTCCTCCTGTCCCTCCTGCTCACTGCCCACTCCCCTGCCTGCGCCGTGCGCGAGGAGTGTTCTAGACCCGCTGGCGCGTGAGTGAGTTCTGCTTGAGTGAACCCAGAGTGGGCTGATTGTCACCGCTCCGTGTCCACCTCCTGGCTGAGGAGGGCAGCCACCACCGGCGTGCGTGGCGCTTTCTGCCCCAAATATATTCACTCTGGCGGCGAGGTGGGGAGGAGGGTGCGCGTAGGGGCGGCGGGGGGGTCTCCCCCTGCACGGCGCGGGTGATGTCAGCGAGCTGTGGTGAATGGAGCGGAGAGTGTGACACGCATGGCACACACGCACACGCGCGCGCGCACACACTTTTACACACACCACACACTCGTACATTCACACGCCAACACCTTTGCCCAACGACGCCTTCGATATCTCAATCAGACTGTTGGGGCGAGGACGGCACGGCACACGAGGGGATCTGTGACACGGCACACCGGCACCACGCCCGGTTGCCTTTGTCTCTCCCTCGCGGCGACGTTTACACATCGCACCAGGTATTCAATTGAGGCTGAGTAGATCTAGGGGTAGGTCCAGGAGAGCGGTTCAAATAATTGTCACTGGTATTGAGTCGTGAGCGAGAATCGAACTCTGGTCGCCGGGTTCTGTAGCGCAGTGCGCTAACCACTGAGCCACCGCTCCCAACACAAAGACACATTCATAGATTCGCAAATATCCTATATGCATGTATCCACTTGTAATAACACACCCATACGTACACACATTCAGACATGCATATGCTTACATTCTGAAAGCGGTAACCGTTTTCAGAATCGATTACCGGTTTTGGAAAGTCAGGAACCCGGTAATGGTTTTCCAAGCCACAACATTTATAATCTGAGTACGATGTTTCGCCTGTAATACAACTAGCTTCATCAGGCGACAGCCACGTGGTACTCAGATTGTAAATGTTGTGTCTTGGCTCTCCAACACACCGGTGTGCTGTACCAGTACACTACACTATACACTACACTACTCTACACTATACACTAGTGCTGTACTAGTGACGAATTGGCACGTTCTGTTTACGTGACAACCCTTACTGGTTGGCTGTGTCGGCTGGTGGCGGGTTTAACGACTTACGCGATCTAACCCAAAACACCTCTACCCGGGAATAGGTATGCGTACCCACACTTTATCCCACCGTTTGGTGAGACGGCGATGGGGAGGGCGGGGGTGCAATTTAGGGCAGGCAGAGACATTGGTTTCAACCGCTGCGGGGGGCTATGGAATCGAACCTGGTGACCCCCCCGATTGAAAGCCCCAGTGTCCCCTGGCCATGACAACGACCCTCGTAAAAGATGCGTCCCTGCAATCGCTTACTCAAGCCAATGCTGTGGTGGAAGAGGCTACTTCCACTTCGACGGAGCTCTCGAGAGCTCCCTCTGGGAGGTTGTTTTTGGCCTACTCTTCCACGCTGGATGGGTTACTCACGCTTTATCCCACCACGCCCAATCTGCCGATGGAATGTGGTGTACATGTTTTGTAACTGCTGGGTGGACAGAGGCGGGGAGGTTAAAGAAACTTGCTCACGTAGTTGCAACTGCCCCAATCGGCAGTCTATTATTTTCCAACAATTAAATTGTGCGGTATGCGCCGCGACAATTCGGAGTGCGACTACTCATTTAATTGGATTTGACTTCATTCAGAGCGCGCGCGTGCACACACACAGCCCGTGTCGTTCAAGGTATTCGTTAATCAGCGCCTGCCGCCCGTCCTAATTAATAGGATGACGCGCGCGGCGACTATCTATATTTCTTTTCACGTGAAAGGAAATATCCAGACACGTCTGATGAGGATTTTTTGAAATTCAAATTCATTAATTGCCTTTTCACACGTTCGGTCACAATTAACGGCGAAGCCTTTTCGTCAACGCGTCGTCAAATTTTGACAGCCGTCTCTACCCAGGTAGAACAATAATTACACAATTATACTCGTGTTTACAACCCCCTTTGTGTCACTCCACTGTTGGATGTAGGTTACCCCCGATGCCGTGTCGGTCACGGTGGTAGGAGCAGTTTACTTGTCACTGGCCACTGATGTTCGGCGTGCCTGGGAATTCATCTCGGGTGGCCAAGTATGGAACAAGTATCAAGACTAAACATCACATAGAGATATGATGCCCTGTATTGTTTCAGGTCACGGTGGCTATGCACGCGTGTGATCCAGTGCTTTGGAGAGAAGGGTTGGTGGTTCACGTGAGTCATTTGTGAAACTCCCAAACCCGCCAGGGCTTCAAGCAAAGATGGCTATGGTATGGCAATACGGATAGTGGGGTTTTTGAATGCGTGTGCGTAGATATGTGAGTGTTACTCCATCATGTGCTTTGGTTTTCTCCAAGTACACTGCTTTCCACACACATACACAATATTGTTTAAAACGGAATTGGCCAGACATCCCAGTTCAGGACACTCTTGAAAAAGCCTTGATATTCATTGAGAGTTTCTTGGCCAGATACGGTCTGTCATTAAACGTGTGCAATGCTCAGGAAGTCATCATGAGCCCCAACATCAATAACACTGCCGCCTTCACAGGGAAACTATATAATACGTGGCATTTTGGACAACGTCCCTTCTTCATAGCGCATGAAATAATTGACAGTCCTTAAATGTTTTATCAATCCTATATTTTGTTCATCAACAAGTTTATTCAAATTTTGCATGTGCTAAGAAGAAGGGCCATTTCCAGAAACGTCGCCTATTGTATATATATTTTTTCCGATTGATTCCCAAGTGTTTTTGACGGATGTATTGAGGTTTTTTTTTTGTTAAGAGGAAGCAGTTTGTTTGAGTTTACCTAGAAGGCAAACGGCACGTGTAGTTGACGCGTTGACGATGTTTTCTGCAATTTACACTTTGTTGTTCAGACACATTAAACAGTGTCGCTTCTTAGACAAGGGCAACCTGGGTTAACGTCTATACCGATGTAATAACAAATACAGTTTAACAAAAAAATGTAACAGATGTGGACTAGATTTTATTTTACAATAAATGAATGCAACACGTACAAGTTAAAACTTTCTCTTTTAAAGTGTTTTCGCTGTTGTTCTATCACGGCGCTCATTAGCCGTGAGACGAGTGAGTAGTTGCGTGTAATGTCACAACTTCACTGAAGACGAATACTGTAGTCGTGGTACATGGGTATCCTTAATGTGTACCACGTGGCACCCCAATAAGGCAGCATAGACTCTCTTTCTCTCTTGCAAGGCAGACTTGGGTTATCTAAACGAGTATCTATATCAAAGCAGGAAACCCTTTTGCAATATATACTATGGTAAATTGTGATCGTTTTTGGGTCTACAGTATACCTTCTATGTATTTTCGTTTGCAAATATTATCCGTGCCAGTTGGATGTCACCTAATTATAAAGTGTATTTGCGTACATCCCTTTGTAAATCCACTGCCGAATATGGGCCTCCACATTCCGAGGGTGTCATTTAACAATACTTTACCATGCTAGTCAGCACTGGTTGCAGAAAATGGATACAGTAACATAAACGATCTGACTGGATTTGGGACATTGTGGGTGAATTAGTCATAGGCAGCTGGGTAAGTAAACACATACATTAGAAACAAAGGGACAGACGTTAAATATATTTAGTCTCATCAGCATATTGGCCAATGGTATCCAGCATGTCCAGAGTTTGTTTGCTTAGACAAATTCCGCCAGATAACATTTGTTCACAAGGTCAATCGGACGATGGACTAAACATTATTTTAACTTGGAGAAAGTGAAGCAAGCATGTCTATGCTCTTTACAAAGTTGGTGGCGTGGACAGGACACGTCGCGAGAAAAGATAATTACTGGGGGGTCGAGACTCACATTGGAGCGGCAGCCAACGGAGGGAACACACGCTGGTTGCAGTGCTGTGAGGAGACGGAGTAACGAAAATCAGCTCATGCGATGCAGAGTTGCCATAAGTATTGTTACATCTCAGAATAACGGTGAGAGATGGCGGCATGGCGAGGCCTTCAAATAGCAGTGGATAGACCATTCTGATTAAATGCAGTTTATTGCCAGAACATTCTTCCACTGACGCACAACGCACGTGTGGATGAATGGCAAGGGAGATATAAAAGAACGACATATATATAATCGGCCGTTAATTTATGTAATAGTTGTTTGCATGGCGTTTTACCACGCCATCACTCACACACGTTTCCAAATCCCCAAGTTGTTCCTCTAATTACCGTGGATAAACGAGGAAAGTCTCTATGGTCCGAGTGCGTGTGTGCTTGCGTGTGTGCTTGCGTGCGTGCGTGCGTGCTTGCGTGTGTGCTTGCGTGCGTGCTTGCGTGCGTGCTTGCGTGTGTGCTTGCGTGCGTGCGTGCTTGCGTGTGTGCTCGCTTGCGTGTGTGCTTGCGTGCGTGCTTGCGTGTGTGCTTGCGTGCGTGCTTGCGTGCGTGCTTGCTTGCGTGTGTGCTTGCGTGCTTGCTTGCGTGTGTGCTTGCTTGCGTGTGTGCTTGCGTGCGTGCTTGCTTGCGTGTGTGCTTGCGTGCGTGCTTGCGTGTGTGCTTGCTTGCGTGCGTGCTTGCGTGTGTGCTTGCGTGCGTGCTTGCTTGCGTGCGTGCTTGCGTGCTTGCTTGCGTGTGTGCTTGCTTGCGTGTGTGCTTGCGTGCGTGCTTGCGTGTGTGCTTGCGTGCGTGCTTGCGTGTGTGTGTGCTTGCGTGCGTGCGTGCTTGCGTGTGTGCTTGCGTGCGTGCTTGCGTGTGTGCTTGCGTGTGTGCTTGCGTGCGTGCTTGCGTGCGTGCTTGCGTGTGTGCTTGCGTGTGCGTGGGGGTGGTACGGTAGTGTCGTGGTCAGCGCGCTGCGCTACGAACCTGCGACCCGGGTTCGATTCTCGCACACGGCCAGCAGCAGTGACGATTATCTAGACCGGTACTGGGCCTCCCCTAGGTCGACTCAGCCTCAGATGAGTACCTGGTGTGATGTGTGAGCATCGCCACTAGGGAGACAAAGGCGGCCGGGCGTGGTGTTGGCCACCCACTCCCTCGTGTGCCGTACCGGGCTTCATAGGTGCTCGCTAACAGCACTTGCCCCAACAGTCTGTTAAGGCTAGATCTTTGATCTTTGTGTGTGTCATACAAACGAAGTGTTGATGCCATAATAATGCAGTGGAGCAATGCAGTGGAGCAA